TCTGGTAGCAGTGTTCATTAGTCTGGTAGCAGTGTTCATTAGTCCATTGGACTTGTTGATCTTCTTCACTCTTTACTCTGGGCAGGGAGAGAACAGTAGTTGTACTTTTGATAGCTACTGGTCTAGTCACTACTCATCATAGTAGGGTAGAAAGCATTTTCTCTGTGGAATATGCTATGCCAATTGACCTTGATGTCCCCTGTTACTGTGGTCCCAAGCCCTGTGACTCATTCCCTCAAGGTGTTTGTTTATGGCTACAAAGTTTACATATCTTTGCCTCTGTTTATTATAAACACAGATATATTTAGAGTACATTCAAATATGTATGTAGGAATATCATCTGCCAAACCTGTATATGGTCACGAGTGTAGTATTTTCACCTGTTTATTCTGTTCATCATGCCTGTGTGTCCACTTGTTTTTGTTTGTTTGTTGTTACTGTTAATGTAGGATTGTATGTGTAATTGTATATACCCTTGCTATCTAAAACTCGTGTGCATCTCTTCATGTCTTCCTTTTCTTTAGTGCTATTGTGCTTATTGTATGTTGCCTTTCCCATCGCCCAAATGAATACAAGTTTGTTATCTAGTTGGTGATTCTCTCACCCTTCCCACCTCTGGTAACCATCAAAGAATTTTGTGTGTGGTAGTGTAGTAGGTTATGAGTTGGGCTGCTAATTGCAAGGTCAGAAGTTCAAATCTGCCAATCACTTCTTGGGAGAAAAATGAGGCTTTCTGCTCCTATAAAGAAAGTATGTAAGTTTGGAAACTGTATACAGGGTCTCTATGAGATGGAACCAAGTTGAGGGCCAACAACCACCATCCACCCTCTTCCCTCCTCTCCCACCTCTGGTAACCATCAAAGACTTTGCGTGTGTGTGTGTGTTTATATGAACCTTTTTTTGACTTGTTGTAATAGCAGACACTACAATATTTGTCCTTTTGTAATTGACTTATTTCACTCAGCATCATGTCCTCCAGGCTGGCTCACCCCCCACTCTGAAGGGTTCAGAGTCTTCAGCTAACCACCAGGCCTTTCCTTTTCAGAGTGTTGTTCGTTGCCTGTGGCATCCAAAGCTGAACCAGATCATGGTTGGAACTGGAAATGGATTGGCTAAAGTGTATTATGACCCCAACAAAAGTCGGAGGTATTCTCTAAGAATTGCTTATTTTAGATGATGAATGACAACAACTGGGGGTGAGGGGGTGTGTGTGACTTCTTTTCACCTCTGCTTTTATTTATTTCTCCCTTTGATGGGGAGCCACCCTTTCAGAAAATGCAGCTGGTACTGAGTATTGTGTTTTAGAGAGGATTTGGATATCACCCTTGATCTATACAGAATTCAAAGGGAAAGTTTCCTGGGGATTTGCAGCTCTTTAGCTGAAATGTTGAGTGCAAGAGGGGAAGTTCTGACCACTTGCATACCAGCCTGGGCAGGGGCATTAGCAGTGATGTATGTACGGGATTAATCAAGCAGGGACCTGGCCACTTACTGGAAATGGAAAAGGTCTGTCCATTTTATTTCCTTTCTGTTTGGGCTTTTCCCAGTTACCAGTAGTTATTTGGCAAGGCTGTTATCTGCCAGCAGAAGGGGACAGCATAAATACTCCACTTTTACCTCTCTGTCCAACCCCAAATGTCCAACTTATGCATACCAAGGTGTTCCAGAGGTCCCAGAACTTTACTAGAGGCTCAGTTGGCTCCTCCATTATTTTCCTTTTCCTTGGGCACAAAGGATGGTTTTGTTTCTGGCTACTAAGAAACAGTGGTTCACTAGGTTGTTTTAGGTTGTCTGGGTTAGATTCACATGCTAAATTCACTGAAGTCCCACCTTCCTGCATGCTAAATTCCTTTTCCTTCCTGAGGAAAGGAAAGCTTCAGTAGTAATGGATATTCACTGACCATCATTTGGCTCTCACAAGAAGCACCCAATCCTGTCTTTCTTCAGAGCTCTCTAAGGCAGAGTAAAGGTTTGAAACCCTTGCCTTAGAAAATAGTGTTGTATCTTAGCAGTATTGTTTACTTGGCAATAAAGAAACTGCAAATGCTAGTGTACTTAGGATTTGTGCATGACAGCTTCTAGGATGAGAAGGAAGGGGTCTGTTTTACTTGATAAAAGTATGAACCTCATTCTGTTGCATCCTTTTGGAAGATACTATCTGTATAATCTTTAGTTTAAAAAAAAATTGCTTATTTGTGTTTGCTCCTTCTAAAGAGAGAGCTCAGTACTGCTGTAGAGAAAGCAAATGTTCCAAGCACAGTTTTAGTTAATCCCACACATTCTTGGACTGTAGCCCCTTAGCAACTTTGCCAATCAGACTCCTTTCCAGACACTTCAACTCTTAAATTCGAGATGTGGACAAATGCCACAGGGGTATAGACCACCCAGCTTTCTCTCAACTGGGACATAAGCTAAAATTTGAACCCTGTGACCTTTAAGGTGAAAAGGCTGAATAATTCTTTTAATGTCTTTTTAAGATCTTAAGTATTTAAGTTATTTTTAAGCTAGAGTCCAGTTGTCCTTTTATTTCTCCCACCCTTTCATTTGGCTGTAGCCAATGAGTGGCAGATTTTCTTCTTCGTAAACCTCATTTCTTATCACGGAAGGCCCTATCTGTTGCCATTACTGAGAGATTCAAGGGCTTGGCAAGATGGTGTGCCCAGAGATGCTTCTGACAATAACTAATGTTTTCTACTTGGACTTACTGTTTCTAAGACCAAATAAAGGAAATGACTTGCTTTTACTTCCAACAGGGGAGCAAAATTATGTGTGGTAAAAACACAACGGAAGGCAAAACAAGCTGAGACTCTAACCCAAGACTACATTATCACCCGTAAGTTATTAGCAAGGCGTCTCAATCATGTGTCTCTTTCTATTTTCATGTGGTACTGATCGCATGGATTTAAAGACAGAAAAAAAGTCCTCCAAGTTCAGACATATATTACAAAACATCTCATTGATGTGCATGGATGGGGCTACCAGTCATGTAATAGCTAAACTCTTTAGCTTCTGTGACTCATCATAGAGACAGGGTTATTTTATGTAACTTTCAACCCCAAAGGGAAAAGCCTATTTGAGCCTAATGCATTACTCCATAGCAAGCTTTTAAAGAGTAGTAATCCACTCCAAGAATAAACAGGAAGGAGTGCTGGACCAGGGCTTCTCCAGCCTTACCACTGACTGGCAGAGTGATATTGAACAACCAGACTCCATCAGGAAAGTGAGGAAACTAAATTAAGATTCTCTTCCAATTCCCAGTGAAATTCTGTGACCATGTGGTAGACTGACCCAGAGGTATCTCTATGTAAAATCAACCACATGGGAGCAATCTTACTGGGATAAAGAGACCTCTCTCAGGTTTGCCACACAACCTTGTCAGCCTTGGCCAGTGTGTGTTTTAGAGAGGATTTGGTTATCACCCTTGATCCATCCAGAATTCAAAGGGAAAATTTCCCGGGGAACAGGCGATGGCTTGGAAAGGAATTGTGGGCACCCTCACATCTGTTACCAGCAGATGCCCTTAGGACCTTATCGGGGTGCTACACTGCTGGGTTTCCTCCTGGTGGTGGTGGGTGTCATGCGAGTCCAAATCCCATGGAGCTTACAATCAATAAAGAGATCCCATGATGCATTTTACAAGGGTAGTTGTGTTAAAGTTGGTGTCATAACCAGTCTATAGCTCACGTAATTACATGCAGCCTACTTAAATTCCTCCAGTCATTTGAAGTGAAAAGTTCCTAAAAATACTGTTGTGTCGTGTTGCCCAATAAAATAATGGGTGGTGGTGCTTCTCAGCTCCCCTCACTCATGACAGCATGTTTACCGTGAGGGATATGACCCTGACCCCCGTCAACAGCAAGAGGGGAAGACTGGCAGGTGTTCTGAGGTGTTCTAGACCTTTTCCGACATACGTGTTCTGAAAACCCACAGTCATTCGTGACTCTCTTCCCAGCCCCTTGGGAAAAGACTTCTCTTTGAAAAAAGGTTTTAATTGGCATATAAGTGTTGAAAGAAATGATTCTGGACTTTCTTTTTTTGGATAAAATAGTAACAATAATAATAATAAGGTAGTTACCCAATTGTTGTTGTTGTTAAGTGCTGCCGAGTCAATTTTGACCCATAGCAACCCTGTTTAGGGTTTCCAAAGAGTGACTGATGAGCTTGAACCACTGACCTTGTGGTTCCCCAATAATCTGCAACCCTTCCCCCATGAATATTGCATGGCTTCTTTTTTTTTATCTTCAGAGACTTCACTCCAACATTGAATAAACAACTAACAGTCTCTGGGTAAATATTACTGTCGTTGGTATCCTTGTGTTTTGTCCACCATATAGAAAAAGTAGGGCTAAGTCCTCATTAAGTCACCATGCCAAAGAGAGCCAGGCATCCTCACCACCACCACCCCTGCCCCCACCGCACCCCCAGCATTCAGGGCAACCTTTATCCCAGTTCCAGTGGGCTAAGTGCTCCGCCCTTCCGGTTACGCCGTGTTGTCAGCTCCTCTTGAGAGGTGGTCACATTTCAGAAACGTCTGAAGTGATTCCAGTGTTTATGAGACATCTGAGGAGACTTAGGACTGACAGACAAGCTGCTGGCCATGTAACTGTTGGCATTCTTCACATTCGAGTCGTGTAAGAAAAATAAGAGTCAGTCCCATTAACTGTTTCTTTTCAAAGCCAGTCTTAACATGGCTCCCCATGGTTTGGGAAGTGGGGAGCCTCACTGGTGTTTCCATGACAAGATATAATAGCACTTCCTGAGTACCATTAGCTGCCAGGAGAGGTGAACAATAAGTCTGGTCTCAAACAAAACTGACTAATTAGTTACAGTAAGACTGTCTTTTATTATTAGACAAGGGCTGTCAATATGACTTCCATTTCATCTTTCAGTTAGTCATACTTCAGCTATGTTTTTGAATGGAAGAATTATTATTATAATAAAATCTTTCAAATTTGACTTCTCGTAGCTCATGCCTTGCCTATGTTCCGTGAGCCCCGCCAACGGAGTACAAGGAAACAGCTGGAGAAGGACAGACTGGACCCCCTGAAGTCTCACAAACCCGAACCTCCTGTAGCAGGCCCAGGTGACTGGGATCCAAATAGTGGCATGCAGAGCGGGTGAGGGGAGGAGAGGATAGGGACTTGATGGAGAACTGGGAAGACCGATCAAACCTGGCTACTTCTTTATCTGCAAAGAGACCTTTCCAGGTGGCTTCTTTTTAGCAAGGAACTTAGTTATTTAAACTTTTATTGTGAATTGAGTGATGGTTTACAGAGCATATCAGTTTTCCATTCAACGATTCCTACACATCTTATTTCATCTCATTGATTGCAGTCCCCACAATATAACATTGATAATCTCACTTATCCTATGTTTTCTGTTTCTATTCTTCCTTCTTTCCTAACCTTTATGAATTTCATCCTTAGTTCATAAATTAAGGATGTTGTTGTTATTAAGTGCCATTGAGTCAGTTCTGACCCATAGCAACCCTGTATAAGGTTTTCAAGGAGCGGCTGGTGAGCTTGAACTGTCGATCTTGTACTCCAAACCAACTTTGCAGACCAGCACATTAGCCCTTTTTAATCTCAAATGGCTGGTTATTTTAAGGTGTGCATACCTCTCTATTGTTTCTCTTATAGACCTATTATCAATTCTTTGGCTGAAAATGAAGCCTTGGGATGAGTTCATGTCCAGACCTGAAGAGAAGCTAGGGGTCGTAATCTTAGGAGCTCCACCAATCTCTATTCAACCAGGAAACCTGGTCTTTTGGGGTTTTTTCACCCCATGATTTTGAGTTTTGTTCAATATTTTATCCCTCACTGTATACCTGGACTTTCTAATGTAATAGTAGCCAGTCGCCACCTTGTTCTTAAGGTCTCAGTGTTATGAAGACCAGGACTAATTAAGGAGCTCTGCTAGTATAGTGGTTATGAATCGGGCTGCTATCCTCAGGGTTAGCAGTTTGAAACTACCAGCTGTTCCGCAGTAGAAAGAGGAGGCTTTTTGCTCCCATAAAGATTTACAATCTTGGAAACCCTGTACTGGGTCACTATGGTAGGGAACTGACTCCATGGCACATAGCAATAACAAGGCTAATTATTTGTGATTCTTCCTACTGAGGCATCATTATGTAAATTAGGCAATGAAAAAATAACAATCAAAAAGATCTCTTTCTATTTAGAAATAATACGAGTGAAGTTAAGGTTTGGTGGTTTGGTGTGATCATCCTAAATCAAAGTTGAAAGGACCATTCTAAAATACCCTAGAGGTTTGTATGCTTCACACCAATGTCTGAAGAAGCCCCAGAGTGCTCAAGACTTTGATTCCACATGAAATGACAATAGCTCTGTAAGCCTGAAATTCTAGCCCCACTTCTCAAGATGTTGCATAAGCCACTTCAGAAGTCAGCACTGAAGGATGCTCAGCCTGGTCAAATAAGCAGAAAGTATTGTCATGCTCATTCAGTTTCTGATTTTGGCTTTTTCCTTTGAAATAGGTCGTGGTGGCCGAGTTGGAACCCATGGGGGCACACTGTCTTCATACATTGTAAAAAACATTGCTTTGGACAAGACCGATGACAGCAATCCCCGAGAAGCCATTTTGCGGCATGCCAAAGCAGCTGAAGACAACCCATATTGGGTTTCTCCAGCATACTCCAAGTAAGGAAAGCGTTATTTGTTTGTTTTTTATAGAGCAATTGCTGTGTTTAAGGGAATGGGAAGCACATAGCAATGACTGCTTTGGTATTCTAACTTCTCTTTTTCTTCATTCTTGACTATGAAAAATAGGTCAAGTACACAATAGTCCTGAATCTCAGGCTTTTACTTGTATCTTAAGAATAGAAAATGGTGGATTTTTATACAAGACCAGTTCCATTATAGTTATGTTGTTGTTAGGTGCCATCAAGTCAATACTGACTCATAGTGACCCTACGTACAACAAAATGAAACACCGCCTAGTCCTGGGCCAACCGCACAATTGTTGCCATGCTTGAGCCCATTGATACTGCCACTTGGCCAATCCATCTCACAGGGGATCTTCCTCTTTTTCTCTGACCCTCCATCTTACCAAACATGATACCCTTCTCCAGTGACTGGTCCCTCTTGACAATATGTCAGAAGTAACAGAGATGAAGTTTGGCCATCTTGGTCTCTAAGGAGCACTCTGGCTACACTTCTTCCAACACAGATCTGTTTGTTCTTTTAGCAGCCCATAGTACTTTCAATATTCTCTTCCAGCACCATAACTCAAAAGCATCAATTCTTCTATGGTTTTCCTTATTCACTGTCCAGCTTTTGCATGCATATGAGGTTATTGAAAATACCATGGCTTGGGTCAAGTGCACATTAGTCCTCAAGCTGACATCTTTGCTCTTGAACACTTTAAGAAGGTCTTGTGCAGCAGATTTGCCTAATGCAATATGTCTTCTGATTTCTTGACTGCTGCTTCCATGAGTGTTGATAGTTGATCCTTGAAAAATGAAGTCCTTGACAACTTCAGTCTTTTCTCCGTTGATAAGAATGTTGTTTATTGGTCCAGTGTTGAGGACTTTTGTTTTCTTTACATTGAGATGCAATCCATACTGAAGGCTGTGCTCTTTGATCTTCATCAGTAAATACTTTAAGTTCTCTTCACTTTCAACAAGTAAGGTTGTATCATCTGCATATCACAGGTTGTTAATGAGTCTTCCTCTAATCCTGATGCCACGTTTTTCTTCATAGAACCCAGCTTCTCGGAGTATTTGCTCAGCATACAAGTTGAATAAGTATGATGAAAGAATACAACCCTGACGCACACCTTCTTAATTTTAAACCATTCGGTATTCCCATGTTCTGTTCAAACAACTGCCTCTTGGTCCATGTATAGAGTCCTCATGAGCACCATTAAGTGTTCTGGAATACTCATACTTCTCAATGTTGGTCGTAGCTTGTCATGAGCCACACAATTGAAAGTCTTTACATAGTCAATAAAGCACAGGTAAGCATCTTTCTGGTATTCTCTGCTTTCAGCCAAGACCCATCAGCCATCAGCAATGATACCCCTCATCCCACGTCCTCTTCTGAATCCAGCTTGAACCTCTGGAAGTTCTCTGTCAATGTATGATTGCAGTCGTTTCTATATTACCTTTAGTACAACTTTACTCACATGGGATATCAAAGAGATTGTGTGACGATGTCCACATTCCGTTGAGTCACCTCTCTTTGGAATGGGCACAAATACAGATGTCTTCCAATCAGTCAGCCAGATAGTTGTTTTCCAAGTATCTTGGCATAGATGAGTGAGTGCCTCTAGTGCCGCCTCACTTTCTTGAAAGATTTCAATTTTTATTCCATCAATTCCTGGTACCTTGTTCTTTGTTAATTCCTTCAATGCACCTTGGACTTCTTCCTTCTATATCATTGGCTCTTGATCATATGGTATCTCTTGAAACCATTGAACATCAACCATTTCCTTTTGGTACTCTGTGTATTCCTTCCATCTTCTTTTTTTAAATGTTTAATTGTGAACTGTGTTGATACTTTACATGGAAGAACATTAGCTGTACATTCATCCTATCGTATATTGTTTCATTACCATGGTTACAATACCCTCCATGCATCATCAGCCAACCAAAGGGTATACCCTGCAAGCCACCCCCCTGGTTGTCAGCACACAGCCTTTCTCCCTCTCTGGGTCTAGAGTCCCCAGCTGCTCCATCTCTCCACATCATCATCTCTACCTCCATCTCTGGAGTCACTGTTTCTCTGGGTAGGGTCCTGTACTCTGCTCATCTCCCTTGATGGTCCCAGGAACCTCCACTCCTGGAATGGAAGGGTTACAAAGGCAAGAAGTGACTGGCTTACAAGCTTTCAAGAGGTATCCTAGATCCAGAGGGCACGGAGGAGGGTAGAATCTCCACTGAGTAGTATCCAATCTGTCTGGGCGGGGCTTATGAAATGAGATGGGGATAGCACTCATGTGTCACAATAGTGAATAATTGCTATCAGAACTGACTGTCAAGGTTGGAAAATTTAAAAGTAGATGTTTTGTAGCAAAAGAAGGGGAGCAATTGACCTTCAATCTTCTTTTGATGTTTTCTGCATCATTCAGTAATTTTCCCAGAGAATCCTTCAATAACGAAAGTGGTGGCTTGAATTTTTCCTTTAATTCCCCCAGCTTGAGAAATTCTGAGCATGTTCTTCTTTATTGGTTTTTTGACTCCAAATCTTTGCACATTTTGTTGTAAATTTGACTTTGTGTTCTCGAGCTGACCTTTGAAAATTTCTGTTCAGCTCTTGGACCTCCTCATTTCTTCCATTTGCTTTAGCATCTCTATGCTGGGGAGCAAGTTTCAGTGTCTCTTCTGACATCCATTTGATCTTTTCCTTCTTTCTTGTTTCTCAATGACTTTTGCTTTCTTTCTGTATGATGTTCTTGATGTCATCCCACAAGTCTTCTGGTCTTTAGTATTTAATGTATCAAATTGGTTCTTCAGATGATCTCTAAATTCAGGTGGGATATATTAAAAGTCATAGTTTGGCTTTCATGGGCTTGTTTTCATGTTCTTCAGCTTCAGTTTGAATTTGCATATGAGCAATTAATGGTCTGTTCCACAATCTGCCCCTGGCCTTGTTTTCACAGGTGATATAGAGCTTTTCCATCATTTCTTTCTGCAGATGTAGTCAATTTGATTTTTGTGTATTCCATCTGGTGAGGTCCATGTGTATAATTTTCTTTTATGCTGTCTAAAGGTATTTCAAATGAACAAATCATTGTTTTGCAGAATTCTATCATGTGATCTCTAGCATCATTTGTATCACCAAGGCCATATTTTCCAACTACTGATCCTTTCTCTTTGCTCCCAGCCTTTGCATTCCAATCACTACAAATGATCAATACATCTTGATTGCATGTTTGATCAATTTCAGATTCAACAAGTTGGTAGAATTCTTCTATTTCATCCTCACTGGCTTTAGTGGTTGGTGTGTAAATTTGAATAATAGTGGTATTAACTGGTCTTTCCTGTAGGCACATGAATATTATCCTATCACAGACAGCGCTGTACCTCATGAATGATCTAGATATGTTCTTTTTGACAATGAATGCAACCCCATTCTTCTTCAATTTGTCATACCTGGCATAGTCAACCATGTGGTTGTCAGATTGAGAATGGCCAATACCAATCCATTTCAGCTCACTAATGCCAAAGATATCAATGTTTATGCGTTCCATTTCATTTTTGACAGTTTCCAATTTTCCTAGATTCATACTTCGTGCATTCTTGGTCTGATTATTAGTGGATATTTACAGCTGTTTCTCTTCATATTGAGTTGTGGCCCATCAGCTTATGAATTTCCCGAGGGCTTTTACTCCCATGGGCTTTACTCCATTTGCATCGTCAAGGTCAACTCTACTTTGAGGAGGCAGCTCTTCCCCAATCACATTTTGAGTGCCTTCCAACCTGAGGTGCTCATTTTCCAGCACTATATTTGACAGTGTTTCTCTGCTCTTCATAAGGTTTTCAGTGACTAAATATTCAGAAGCAGTTCATTACTCCTTCCTAATCTGTCTTCATCTGGAAGCTCATCGGAAACCTGTCCACCATGGGTGACTCTGCTGGTATTTAAAATACTCATAGCAAAGCTTCCAGACCGCAGCAACTCACAAGTCACCACAGTATGACAAATTGCCAGACGAGTAGTGGACATTATATAGTGGGCTTCACATAATGTTTATTTTGCTGTGGGTCAGAACTGATTTGACAGCACTCAACAACATCATCATAAATCATTATGTGAAGCCCGTTATACTTGTGATTTTTAGAAGAAAAACAGCAACCCACTATCTATATGTATCTTAAAGAAGGTTCAAAACAAATGAAGGGGAGCAGTGTATAGATTCATTGTTAGAGATTAATTTTTACCTATAGAACTGAATATGGAGCTACCACTGCCAAGGAGATCCAACGTGCTCAGATTCACTCATGAGTGAACGTGTGGTGGGTTTTAAAACCATTAAACTAATTACACTTTATTCTTTAAAGGAAGGTACTAATGTAAAATTTCCAGTTAAAAAAATTTTTTTAAATGTAAGCTTTTTATTTTGAACTAATTTTAGACTTACAGAAATGCTACAAAAGCAATACAGAGAATTCACATATAGTCTTCATTTACCCATCTTCCCCTCATGTCAACATTTTACCTAATTTTAGTTCTTGTTAGTTGCCACAGAGGCAGCTCCGACTTACGATAACCGTGTGTGTAACACAACAAAACTTTGCCTGGTCCTGGGCCATCTTCATGATCATGGTGGTTAGTTTCAGTGCATTGTTGTAGTTACATATAGATCACAATTGTTGGTATTAGTACAAATTGATATTAGTACAATACTGTTAACTAAAGTACAAGCATTACCAAACTGAAATTTTGTGGAAACCCTAGTTGAGCAAGCTATCAGTGCCATTTCTCCAACGGCATGTGCTCACTTCATGTCTCGATGTCACATTTTGGTAATTCTCACGCTATTTTATCTTTTTCATAGTGCTATCACACACTTAATAGACTAGAGCATAGAGTAAACATGCTTTTATGTGTACTGAGAAACCAAACACTATGTGACTCACTATTACAATCTTTACTTTGTTACGATGGTTTGGAACTGAACTCAAAGGATCCCCAAG